TATGTGCAAATATTATTTCTCAGTGGCCCTCGTGGCTCATAAAGAACCTTAATTTTTTCATTTTAACTATTGCAGTTTCACCTGTCTTTGAAAAATTACTGTAAAATTTAAGTGCACAAGCGCCATGTCCACCTTAGATGTCCATCTAACGTCCGAATGGATTAACGTATTCCACCGATCTCTTAAGGTCGGCTGCATCTCCTCGTAATGCATAATCTACCGACAATTTTACAAAAAATTCACTGATTTTAATGTTAAATTACTTATGCAGGTAGGATTTTTTTTCTATCGATTATTATCGAGTTAACTTATCAAAATGTCTCCTGGCAATTCATGTGCATTTATTTCGTATTGACTCGTGCTGCGATCATAATAGTATCATTATCACCCATTAATTTATTATTAATAAGTATCGTCGTTTCAAATCGTCAATTCATCCTTCCATACACGCACGCAACTCTCGAATCTTCATTATTCATAATTCATTTTTTTTATCGATCATTATTCATTAAAGATTATACATCCTATAATTATCATTTTACTTTTGTTTTTATATATAATATATGTATATCCTGTATTATTTTTTCATTAATCTTACACTTATATTCTTGATTCCTTTTCTTCTTATACTTTATGCTTCATATGTATTTTCATGTGTGCGTGTAAGTGTCAACTTGTGTAAAATACGTTGTCATTGTAACCTGTATAATTCTTATATATTACGTAATTTTCTATGTTATCTATATTATCTTTCCTTTCATTTCATCTTATATAATTACAACCATCTGATATTTTTTTTTTTTAACTTATTTAAATGTTCAAATATACTCTCTTACTCTCCGTCCGATTCGTTGGCAACATGATCTAAAAATCACTCGATAAAACCTCCCTTTTTAACGTTTAAAAAAGAGCTCACAACGCAATGCACTCGTATTTTAATGCCGTAAACACTCATCACTTTAATCTCAAGTGATCCGCCTTAACTCACATTCCTTGTTGAGAATACCAATTTTCTATCCTTTAGATAGTTTTCGAGCATTTCTACGCATTTTTTTCTAGTTTTCTCTCTCACGCCAGTAACTGATCTCTGCCATACACCGTCGTCACAATAAATGTGTGCGTGAATAAAATTATTAGCTCATTTTGCTTGCCTCTTTTTTTTCTTCACTTCCATCATCATTTTTATTTTTTTCATCTTCTTATCCACGTATCGTCTTTTTTTTTTTTTTTTTATTTTTTTTTTTTTTTTTTTTGTTTTTTTTTTAAATTTATTTATTCGTTTTACTATTGTACAATTAAAACGGACAACATTAAGCTTATAAAATATTGTCCGAGAAATTGAATACCATAACATTCAAGTAACTGCTTGAAAATTTGTAGTAGCTCAAGTTTTGCTTTGTTTTTCTCAAATATAATTTTGTTTAATTCATCTTGGGAGGGGAATAAAAACGTATATCGAATTTTTTTTTTTTTTAGTATATGTATGACGACTAGATTATTAACATCAACTATACAGTTATTGCTATATAAGCGACAATGTTTCAGGATCGTCGCAAGTCTAATCGAATTCGACGTGCGCTAGACCTTCAACGATCGGGAACTTTGTGAAAAACTAAATTTTGCCAAGCCAGCTCGCAAAATAACACATAATTTTATAACGATTTTCATAGCTCTGTATTGATACCACAACTACTTGAGTGACGTGTCTTTTCATTTCTCTTTAGTTTGACGCTCAATGAAATTTGATTCATACGTTGACTGTTATTTCATATTTTTCTCTGACTTTCGTTTTTTTTAAAGTATACTTGTATTTTAATATGCTAAAAATTGAATTATTTGAATCGTTGCAGTAAATAATAAATACATAAACCATAGGATCATTTTTATTTATTGCGATGCGCTGTATGACAATGATTATTCTTTGAAATGTTACTACAGTCCTAACCAATACATTTAAATTATTATGACTTCATTAACAACAATACATACATATGTGACATTTGTTATATAAACATCTATAAGTAGAAGATAAATCTCTTTGTACAATAATTGTTATATCTTTTTACACAACAATCAATAACCAATATGTTTTTCGAATTATTCGTGTAACTCTTACGTTCTGTAACAGAGGAAAAAAAAATAATCAAACATAAATGACTTCAACGGAATGTTTTACAAAATATATGCGTTAATTTGTGTAAATATTCTCGCAGTTTAACTTCATACTTCCAGAAATATTAAAAGTAAATAACGTCGTTATGAAATTTTACGATTTCGATTGAGCTGTAATATCTATACTCTCAAATCTTTTGAATACAATCGTCATCTTTCTTTGTTTCGATCTAATCATTTGTATCGTACACACCGTTTACCAGAGTCTCACTATGTGCGCACGGCGAATCCAATAGTATTTACAAACGATGCTAAAGTAGCATTATTCGCGACACATTTTGTTTTCAAATAAATATTGTTATTTTTTTTTATCCTCGTTCGACATACTGTTGCCTTCAGTGGCAGTACCGTTATAGAAATAACACATCTAGAAATAACTACGACTCTTTTCTCTGTCATATTTTTTTCCAATAGTTTTTGTTTCTTTAAGTAACTACAACCCTTTTTGCTTTA